GGGAGACATCTTAATACTTTCAACAATAAAGATAATTTTTTTTAAAAAGTCATCCATGCTTCTCAAGCCATAGGAAAATAGGGAAATTGGAATTAAGTATATAAAATTCCAGTATCCCCCATGACTATGGGTCATAAATTGGCGCATCTTCCTCTCATCTCTGTCAATGTCTGTGTGCTGTTATGCTTCAGGGAGAGCAAGACCAGGAACTGACCCATTGGTCACCACAGCCAAGCAGCCCTAAGGAGCTTACTCTGCTGCAGATAAGAAAATGAACACCCAGAGAGGTTGTCTGTGATTTCTTTTCCCTAGGCATTTTCCCTGAGCTGTGAAGTCCTCCCATACCCTCCAAGCAGGTGGAATGGATGCCCTTTCCAACATGCTGCATCCCCAGGGCCCGGAACCAGGCCCACTCCAGGGCAGGCCTCAATAACTACCTGTGGAACGAATGGAGGAATCCTAGCTAACCCTCTGAGTGCAGGTGGTATCTCCCTGGCTTGTTGTTGACCTGCTTTATGACCCCAGAGGCAGTGGTTGATGACCCCCTAAACCCCTAGGAAAGTGACATCTGGAGAGGCAGGAAAGGACACCCTGGCGCACAGTCCCAGGCACTGACCTCTCCCGTGGTGATGTGCGTTACAGCCTTAAACTGTATTAGCTTCTCAAAGGCGAGGGAGGAGACGGCTGAACGAAATTGTATTCCCATGTACTGGCTAACAACCCAACATGCGGACAGACTCAGAGACTTCACACACTCAGTGAAAAACAAGGCCAAGCAGAGTCCTACTCCGTAGACAGTATTCCCATGCCACGCTTTGGAATATTCCAGGACCTTCGGTATAATCAGCATCTGAAACAAAACCCACGAGTTTGGATCATTCAGACCTTCCAATCCTTCCTTCAGGCAGCAAGTACCAAACACGGCTGCGCAAGGGACTTGGGCCAATGCGGGGCTTGTGGAAAGACTCAGACGGACTTGGGCCCAGTCCTGCCTCAGAAGGTCATACAGTCCAATGGAGGACACTTAATCCAACTGACCCAGATCCGAGCCCAGTTCCTCCGCCCCCCAGCTGACCCCACCAGGAAACAGAACACACACACATACACACGGGCAATCAGGAGTTAACTGACGAGGTACTAAGGCATGGGCAGAATTTAAGAAACAGAACAGGGATGGCAGAGCCCCATGGAGCTGGTGAGAGCAGGGAAATGTTACCTCCCCAGACCTGGGGACCGAGGGGATGGCGAGGTTCCTGGAACCCAGGAAAAGAGTCCTAAAGAAAGGGCCCCTCACAGGAGTATGGTCCCCTCTGGTGAAGGAGAGGGAGGCAGCCAAGGAATGAATATTCTGCCCTGTCTTCCCTCCAGTCTCCCATTTGTAAAACCCCACCAGAAGCCAGAGGGCAGCGGGACCCATTCATGTGCTCCATACAGGTCACACTCTAGGAGCACAGGACAGCATGGACAGCAGATCTGGAGGGACAAATGGAGACTATCCAGCACACGAACGGTCACCCAAGGCACTGATCTCTGGTGTCTTCAACTGTTGTTCCTTCCTGACCTACATCATTCTCACAGCACTTCTGTTTTCTCTGGGGGACTGTCACCTGCCCCATTGCAAGCAGTCTAGGCTGGGTTGTCAATCTATGTACCCTCCCTCTGCTGACCAACAGGGACCCCAGCTGGGGCAATTGGCTCACTCTGCAATCAGATCTTGGGCTGAGGAACTGGAGGACCCCAAATAGTCACAACTGGTTCATCCCAACCATGGTACATGGAGGAGACCATTGGTTCCTGCCACCTACATTCCCAGGGTGCTCAGCCGTTTCTCAAAGCAACTAGCACGTACAGAGCCAGGCCGTGCTCTAAGTGCTTTATACTAACTCGCTTAACATCGCCCTATGTGTCAGGTGACGGTACGCTCTCCATTTTATGCGTGAGCATTTCCATGAAGTCTACCACTGAGCGTGCCGTGGGGTTCCACTATGAGCCAAGGCACAGACACATCGCCCAGAGTCACCCAGCACTTAAGGGGAAGGGCCAAGGTTTGAACCTAAACACTGGCTGCAGAACTCACACTCATGATCAGCTCTACTCCCCTCAAAAGAGCTAATTCCCCAATTCATGGCATGGACTCGAACGCGCCAATCTCGAAAGCCTGGAGCCTCCCATCTTACCCCGTCCCCCACTTACCGGCCCCAGCACACCCATGATGGAGAAGCAGCAGCCCAGGGAGATGAACATAATAACCCTTGTTCTTTGGAATCTCAGCATCGCTCGGAGCACTGAGGCTTTTTCAGTCCCGTGCCTTGAGACTTCTTCTTCCCAAAAGAGGCGAAGCCTTGGAAAGAGGAACATTGAGCCAACTGAAATTCCTTTGCACGTGTCGCCCAAATGTCCCAGGTCTTGTAGTGCAGGCTTCATTACAGAAATTTTCAAAGGTAACAAAGTAGAAGAGTATAGGGCGTCTCCCCCAAGCCTATTCCCCAGGTTAGAGAATTATCAACATCTGACATGTCTGTTTCACCTCTACTCCCCTCCACTTTTTTTTTTCTTTTTTTGATGCATTTCAAGCAAATCCCAGACATATCATTTCATCTCTCAAGGCTTCAGTGTGTATCTCTCCCAGATAAGCCTTTTAAAAAAAACTGCAGTAACCATGATAACAATAGTTAACAATTAATAGGTATATATTAATAACACAGTAACAATAATTCCCTAATGGTGTTGAATACCCAGTCTGTATTCAAATTCCTCTAATTATTTCAAAAATATGTTCTTACAGTTAGCTTGCCTAAATTAAGATACAAACAAGGTCCATATGTTATATTTATTTATTTTATTTTTTTATTGATTGATTTTTAGAGAGAAAGAGGCAGGAAAGAAATGGTGAGAGAGAGGGAGAGAAACATCGATTTGTTGTTCCACTGATTTATGCATTCACTGGTTGATTCTTGTATGCACCCTGCTTGGGGATTGAACCTGCAATCTTGGCATATAGGGGGCATGCAGGAGGCAGCTGATCGATGTTTCACTCTCACATCGATGTTTCTCTCTCCCTCTCCCTTGCTCTCTAAAAACCAATTTTTGAAAAAAAATGTTTAAAAAAAGAGCTTCGAGACTAGAGGGAGGCCTTTTGCTACAAAGGAAGAGGCGACAATCTTGGCTATCTCAGGATGGACCTTTGCATCTCTGGTCACCATCCCCCCAAGACATGGTCTTTAACCAACCCAGGAGCTTGCCCAACGTGACTGTACCTCTTGCTGTTTTGGGCCGAGGTGTGGCATGCCGACGGAGGGGGATGGTGCTCTCGTCTAAGCGTTTCTGCAGACCTCCGATCATGAAGGGGTTGACCCACCACATCGTGAGGTAGGAGAGCAGGCTGGCATCATCCAGGGGGTGGGGGGAAGGGAACCTAGAAGTCACAGGCAATGTGGCCACCGTTAGCATGTGGCTCTAGAGGGGGACACAAAGTCCAGGTGAATTATAATAATGATAGAAAACCCACAGCGCAGTCAGCCGTAGGTGCAACAAAGTGTGTGCTTTTGTGACTGTTATTTGTGACGGTAAAAAATCAGAAACAACAAAAACAGGGGAGTGATTTTAAAAGAAGGAAGTGCGGCTGTCCATTCTGTGGGCATGTCCGAGGGAAGTGTCCAGGCAAAGTCGCCTTGGCTGCGCGGGCGGGTCTGCCCCGTGCCCCCAGGACTCACCGCGGCCTGCGGCGGAGGGGCAGCAGCTTCCTCCAGGTCCCAGGCTTCCCCGCAGCGGGGTCCCCCGCGCCCTGGGCTCCCAGGCTTCCGGGCCGGCTGGCTCCAGGGGCTGTCTTCAGGAGCGTATGTTTTCTGGGGAAAGAAAAGCCAAGAGCGTTGGCTTCAGACCTCAGAAATACCGCCCGGGGGAGCGTTAGACCAGCCAACCAAGGAGCATGGATCCTTCCTCGTCAGCTTCCTAAAAGGCTTCCAGAGTCAGACAGAGAAAGACAAATACTTGTGGAATCTTAAAAAAAAAAAAAAAATAGCTCATAGACACAGAAAACAGATTGGTGGTTGCCGGAGGCAAGGCGGGTGGGCGGGCAAAATGTCAAAGATCAAAAGGCACAAACTTCCAGTCCCAAAGTAAAGAAGGGCTGGGGTGGAAACCAGCATGGCGACTGCAGTCACTCGGACTGGGCCGCACACCTGAAAGTTGCTGAGAGAGGAAATCATAAAATTCTCATCATAAGAAAAAAAATGTGTTACTATGTATGGTGACGGATGTTAACTGGACTTATTGTGGTAATCATTTCACAACATATACAAATACCGAATATTATGTTGTACACCTGAAACTAACATATTGTTATATGTCAGTTATATCTCAATACAAATGAATGAATGAATGAATGGCCACCAGACAGAAAATGAGCATTAAGCCAGGAGTCAGGACAACCAGGTCCCAGCCCTGGCCCTGCCCTGTAGTCACTAGGTGACTCTGGGCAGGTGGCTTCGCCTCCCTGGATTTTTATCCATCACCAAACAAGAAAAGAGGGTGCTATGGTGACTCACCCACAAAATGTGAGGCCATGTCACCTTCCGAGGATCAAACTACTAAAAAGAAGTCAATAATTAAACAAGTAAATCCCAAAACATTACATGATATTCTTTTGATAAAGTGGGAAAGAACTAGAATTAAAAAGAGATATATCATTTCTAGGACTTCATATAGAATCAATAATCTACCTTAAAAGCATAGCAAAGGATTGACAGGGGGAGGCTCAGGATAGTGGTTCCTTCAGGTGGTGGGGAGTTAGGGAAGGAGAACACCAACAGTCGGATGTAAGGTCCAAGTTGGCATGTTGGTGATGGGTTCACAGGTGCTTAGTGTATTATTAGAAGTAGATGCATAAATAGGTAATAGATGATTCATACATATGCAGAGCCATGAAAGTGCATCCTGACCAAAGGATTATGGTTCATTTCATTATAGAAGACCAAGGTCCACTAAAAAAAATCAAGGTTGAATAAATATGGGACAAAATTCCTTGAGCTAGTTCATGATCATTGAGAATGCCCTGCCAACTCAGCTTCCTGTGCTTTGATGTGAAGGAGATCTACTTACGTAGCTAAGTCCTGAAACCGTGTCATCACCCACATCCATGCCGAGATTCACCACACCACCAGAAGACCCAGGGACCCAGTATAACTTCCTCCTGGTCATTTTCAGTTGTCCTGCCAATTCTTTGTTTTCCAAAATCGGAGAATCTGAAAAAGCAACAGGTAGGAGCAGCTTAGATCCAGCCCCGAGGAGGCCAGCACCCTGCAGGGGGCGTGTGGGGGCCTACGCAGGGTTGGGCCATTGTCACAGCCCCTGCTCTTCCCTCTGCTTGGAATGGACTTGGCTCTCTCTTTTTAAACATCTGCTCGGGCCTCAGTCTAACATCACTTAGGGAAACCTTCTCTAACTACCCACTCCCAATCCCACCACCTTGGGCCAGGTCAGTCTCCTTTGATACACCCAAGTCTGCTCATAAAACCATGCTTCTTCTGCCCTGGCCAGTGTGGCTCAGTTGGTTGGAGCATGGTCCAGTGCACCTAAGGGTTGCAGGTTCAATTCCTGGTTAGGACACATTACCCAGGTTGCAGGTTCAGTCCCTGGTTGGGGTGTGTAGGGGAGGTGACCGATCGGTGTTTCTCTCTCTCTCTGTCCCTCTCCTTCCTCTCTCTCTAAAATAAGAAAATAAAAATCCTCCGGTGAGGATTTTCTTAAAACCATGCTTCTTCTCTTATCCCAGTTTGTAATTGTACATTCATGTCAATCATTTGTTCAGAGTTCATTTCCTGCACTAAACAGAGGGCAAGGACATGCCTGCTTTGCTCACTATTGAATCCCTGGGGCCTGGGATGGGGCTAGGAGTATAGGCCAGATGTTCAATAAATAAATGACAAATGAATGGGTAAATAAGTGAAAGACATGCGATTTTGTCATTTTCTGATTCTTGGTTTTCAGACTCAAGGCAGTGGATCTGGGCACAACTTAGGAAACTTAAATAACCAAGGCATGTATTGGCTATCACAGTGTATTAATATGCTTTTTGTTTTTGCTTTCTGAGTATGTGATTCACTCCCAGAGCAGCCATTGCCTGGGGTAGGGGAAGGATGGTAATTAGAAATATTTCTGAAGGAATGGAAAGAGAAAGTGAGCCACGCGGCCAGCATCTGGGGTGTGACCAGTCCACAGGGCCTGTACTCAGAAGGGCCCCAGGCTCGGTTTCCTGCTCTGCCATCACCAACTTGAAATTCTTAACAATTTCTACAAGGAGCCCCACACGTCCTGGGCCCCACAAATTACGGCGTTGTCCTGGTGTTGGGATGCAGCTTTGGACGTTCACATCTGGGATTGTGTTTCAAGTAAACAGACTGGCAGGCAGCTGTTGTCTTGGGAGAAGATTCTCTCAATTCTTTTATCCCTCTCACCTCACTGTCTTTTAGCAAATCAGAGCCCGGTTTGGTGGGCTCAGTTTCTATAATTCTCCTCTAGAGCATACAAGGTAGATAGACTCCCCGGGTTGGACAAGGCCACGGGCTAGACTTGCCATGTGATGGTAGAAGTGGGCCTTTCAGGGCTGATGCAAAAGGAAAAATTGAGAAGGAGGTGTGTTAGGTTAAAGTCTTTGTTGAAGACTCTAGGAAGAGGCCAGTTTTCTGGCTCCTGTGCACCTGCCTTGCTCATAGCCACATTAAAGTAAAATTGGCATGACTCCTTAGAGAGAGGCCCTGGGGGGAGGGCCATGTTTACTGTTCTTCAGTGTATTCACTACGCAAAGCTTCCCAGCAGAGGGGAGGGGTTGGGGAGAGGGTGGAGTCAGCAAGTCTAGATGGCAAGTCATCACCCTCGCACTGGGCTATGCCCTTAGCATCTGCGTGTCACTAACCTCTCGTCCCAACTGGTGAGTGTAGTTCCAACACGAATGCTACTTCACATTTTGTTTCATGCAAACGGGAGAATGAAACGTGAAAGATGAATGCTGACTGGATCTTCACTCACTTGCCAATGACGTGAGTGACTGTGCTGAACAGTTTTCAAATATTGAAAGAATATTTCCTGTTTTTCGTGCTCTTCACAATGCTGCAGGCACCACTCACTGGTCAATTTCCCTTGCGTTATTAACATTTCCTGCATTGATTTCTTAAGCTTAGGCAATCAGCAAAATAATAACAAGTCAAGCCCTGATTTGCAGCCTTTGCTGACTTCTGTGGTGAACAGATTCCCACCAGGGCTGATTTCAGGCTCCCAACATGACCGCTGGGTACGGAGTGTGGAGGGGCCGACGGGACAGCACTGTGTGGCACTTCCACAATGCAGGTCCGATGTGAGCAAATAACCCCAAAGGGCAAAACAAAGCCAAACAATCAGGAAGTCATAAATCTGGGGTATTCCCTTTGTCTCTGATGTAGTATATTTAGCTGTAAGTTTATATAATTTAATTTTCACGATGTTTGTATTTAACAACTGGGCTCTCACAATCCCTGAGAATTGGACACTGTCAGCAGACCACTGTCACCTCCCTCTGGAAACGGTGGGGCCTTTTTCTAAATCAGGGACATCTTTGTCCAACTCACTTCTAAGTGCTCTGTGGGCTCATGCTAGTTGTGCCCGGGGATCGCTTTCCTGGCTCCCCTGAGATGCAGATGGGAGCAAGAGTGGCTGAAAGACTGGGCGAGGGTCTTGCCACTGGGGCCCTATAGAGCACCTAGGCTGCAAATAAATGGCGCCAGCAGAAGCCAAGCAACCCTGGGAACACCACTAGGCCAGGAGCCAGCTGAAGAGCATCTTTTGAAGGCCTACACAAGACCCTCCAATGACAGTGGGGCAGGCAGTGACCAGGTGGACAGAAGGTGTCATTTGGAAAAGCTGAGGAGCAGAGGACACTGCCCAGGACCCTGACTCTTCCTCTGCCTGGTAACAGCTACAAGGCTGAGCCTTTCCTGAGCATCACTCCAAGGAGCTATTTCAGTGACTGGGTTTAACAAGATCTTAAAATGGTAAGCAGGCATAAACGTTTACTTTCTCCTCATTAAGCAGCAAGTAGGTTTTCGTGAGGAAGAGCAGATTCTTCCAAATCGAGAAGTTCGACTTCCTCTCACCTTTCAGCTATTGTATGGTTTGTCAACCTGGTTTATTTAGACTCACCGACAAAGAGAGGCAGTGAGGGTGTCGAAGGTGGGACTACGCAGAACTGGTCCAGGGAACGAATACTAGAGGAAAGTAAACCATATGAAAATTAGGGAAATGCAAATATGCACAATGGCTATGTTTGTAGAACACCAACTGCTCCTGGCAATGTAGCTGGAGCCTAGCGACACTTCAGCTTGGGCGGCCTTCCAGTGCCCTGAGGCGCACCTCAGCTTTCTGGGCCAGCAAGGAGCGTTCCCTGTAGAACTTCCTTAGGCAGTCCTTGCGAAATTCCCTGGCCTCCCAGCTCCCTCTTAGGAAGACATCAGAGCTGATGTTCATTCACTCTAATTAGTGGCAGGGTCATCACTGTGGTTGGGGTGGGGACCAGGGCGTGACTGGGAATGAAGCAGAGAAGCAAGGGGCTTCCAGCCTTGTGTTCTCCCATCGCCAGGGGGCCAACTTCCTGGTTACTAACTTGGATTAGACACAGGCTATTTGCATGTGGTGAAACGGCCTGTGAACAGAACGGGGACTACTGGAGCAAGGCGAACTGTGGCCAGTGTCCAAGGCCAGAAGGTGCCAGAGGATAGAGAAGGTGCCCAGGGCAGTGGGGCAGAGGCACCTGCCAGCTGGGCCCTGAAGATGGTTGAGACCAGCCCTTTCTCCTCCTGCACCTCCCTGTCCTGGCGGTTCACTCCCTGTGCTGGCTACCGCCCGGCTCCTAGAATGATTTCCTCTACTGGTTCCACTAGCTTCTGGAGGCCACTGCTGGCCACTTGTAGGCTGCTGAATCCCGACATGCCAGCACCCGGACCCTTCCTCTGTAACAAGGGACCTTTGCTCTAGTCCTAATCTCTGCCGAGAACAGCCTCCTGTCGGCTCCTTGCACAGCCCGTGCATTCCTGCTGTTCAGGTCTCACTCAGCCCCAGCCCCATCTCCTCTGAGTGGCCTTCCTATCTAATATTCTACTCCCACCCCTGTCACCTGCTACTTAGTTTCCCATTATATTTTCTTTAGGTATCACTTTCTGACTTGTCATTTCTTTCTCTGTTGGCTTATTTATTTTCTGCCAACCTCCCTAGAGTGTAAGCTCTTTGAGATCCAGGGACTTGTCCATCTTGTTGGTGAATGTATCTGTGAATCTAGAATAGTGCCGGTGCAGAGCAGAAGCTTAGCTAATGTCTGACGGCTGAATGAGTGGAGTAGACACAGAGTCTGTTAAAGAAGGAGAGCCACGTGGTCACTAAAGACCTGACGTCTAGATTCTTGATGTTCACCCAAGTGGACTGGCACATCCCATCACAGAGATACACTGAGAGGATGGAAAGAAAGTGCTCATCAAGCAAGTGACCTAAGCACGGACCCATTCCCACCCCATACCTCCTGTCGTGCAGTATGAAATCGTATTTAAAAAAATAAATCCAGCTGGACCTCACCCTTGGAAAAGCAGACTTTGGTGTGCATCTTGGTCCTGCCCAAACACACCCAACCCCAGAAGAGAGAACAACATGCCAGCCCAGTAGAGGGAACCACAAGCCATGCATTGTTGATAGCTCCAAACAGGGTACTCAAGGCCAGTCACAAAGAGCATCTGACATTGGCCTGCACCACATAGAAACAAACCCACATAGGCAGTCAGAATGGGTAGACAAAAAAAACAACACACACACACACAAAAACCAAGCTCCAAATGAAAGAACAAGGGAAGTCTCCAGAAAAAAAGCTCAATGAAATGGAGATAATCAATCTATCAGATATAGAGTTCAGAATACTGATTGTAAGGATGCTCAGCAGCATCAGAAAAGATATGGAAACTATGAAGGATGACATAGCAGAAATAAAGAATACATTGGAAGGAATAAACAGCAGATTAGAAGAAGCTGAGGATCAGATTAGTAAATTAGAAGGCAGAGTAGAAAAAAATCACTCAATCAGAGATCCAAAAAGAAAAAGAAAAAAATTAAAACAGGAGGACAGCCTGGCCAGGTGTGGCTCAACGGCTGAGCATTGACCTAGGATCCAGGAGATAGCAGTTCTATTC